GGGATCGTAATGTACTTCAATGAAAGTTTTCAGAAAGCACTCTTAACTTATATCAATTAATTCTTTTTACGATCATAGTCATGATATCATTCGTATGTCTCTTTTCCAGCAGATTTCTTCAGATATACCAACGCACAAAACGAGTAAAAATAATTTGAAAAGATAGCTACTATCCATTTCGAAAAACAATGTACTCGGTTGGTTTTGGATAACTCAGGACCGTTAGTAGCTAGCAAGTTCAGTTCTTCATCCTCGAACTGATAACATCTGGTGCCATCCAGATATGTAGTGATCATTATCATCACAGTGATCAGTGAGCCATTATCAAGGACATTCCAGAGAGTCGCGATTTCGGCTCGTTGACCTTGGATCCCCCTAAAAGGAGTCAAGATAGGGATAATCGATCATGATGAGTCGTGTGGTGATGTTTATTTTTGGCTTCAAACCGATCTAAAGTCACTATAACATGATCTTCAAACGATACGCAACATAGCGGCAGAATGCTGGAATTAGAAAATCTTGGTTTTAGATCGGTTTGAAATCATAGATAAACATCACCACAAGACTAACCATGATCAATTACCCCTATCTTCACCCATTTTACTATGATCCAAGGCCAACTAATCGGATCTATTGGAACATGCTTATAGCTCCTGAATGGAACAAGTTAGCGAGCTCAGCCTTGCGTAGTTTTGGAGAGGACAGTATGGCAAATCGTACCCACCCAGAAGAATCAAAATTTCTAACTCGTGCGTGAGTGGTTTTTCGGAAACCTTCTGAAAATCCCTCAAAGATCTTGACAAGCCGGATGATCACTACATATCTGGATGCTCCCAGATGTCGTCAATTCGACGACAGAGACCCGAACTTACTAGCTAGTAGCGTTCCTAACTTATTCAAAAAGCAACCGAGTACATTCTCTTTTGAAACGGATAGTAGTTAGTTCCAATGAACTTCAGATATATTGGAGCAATAAAATGCGATCGATCGATTTCAAGTATCGTTTTGTGTGTGAAAGAGGCCTGATGTATAAACAATGATTAAATTGTAATTCGACTCAGCATTATCACAGAGAAAGAAGTATTTCTTAAGTGATGGGTTCTTCTCAAGGAAATTTTCAGCATACATCGGGTTTTGCTCAACCGAATTACATATAATCTGCGAATGTTTTTCATTCCACGATGATGTAAAAAGAGACAAGACGTGCTCTTTATCTAACTATATTACTCGACTTTAAAAATTTGAAATTAACTATAATTTATTATATGAAAATTCTATGATGACATACATAATAAAGGAAGTATAATTCAGTTTCTGTTGTCGTCGATTAAAAGTTCTTGAATATTTAATGTCTAGTGTTTGTTGTGGATCAACTTGTACTTCCCATCTTAAATCGTGCATTGCATTTGCAATTACTGGACCACTTTTAACAGCATCGATCTTTGGTTTCAATGAAAAGTTTGACAACTGGCCGTGAAGTTGAATTTTAATGACCACAGTTACCGGTTCAAATTTATAGTTTATCACGGTGATGATACCATCTAATATTTCCTTTATATAATTTACTTTTAACATTGAAAGTCGACTACCACTCACACTAGCAGCTCTGTTTACTTTTTCATCAAATGTCACCTGAATGTCGTTAGACATACAGTGACTGGCCTTCTTTTTTGAAATGGATAGTAGTTGCTGTCGATTAATCGGGCAATTCATTGCACCATTAATTGGCCGATGCAGCGGCCGTTTCAGCTAGTACACGATTCAGTCAGCATGTAGCTAGATAAATGTAGCTTTTAATCTAGTTAATCTGGCTGTAAGTGGGGGCTGCAGCTATTTTTACAGCTAGATTTTCTCGCTTACTCAGTTTTGCTTGGGAAGCATCTCTGTTAAATCTCCATTTGGCTTGTCCAGCTGATGGTCACCTTCAAATCAGAAGGTTGAAGTGTAAAACTAACAAAAACGTATATATTCGTGCGAAAAGCGAGTTGACTAGTACATGAATTTTGTACTGAAACATCCTAAAAGGGGCAGTATGAGCCAAAAATCATCGGTTCGAAATGTTCAACCAATAAGCGAAAAGCACAGATAACTCATTTGTATGTTTTCTTTGCTTATTTATTTTTAAATCGTAGGCATGTATACTCGAATTTGATATCTATAGATAGAAAAAGATCTGCCCATTCATTTGGTGATCTTCGCGAGCTCTGTAACGACCTGTAAAAGAAGCTTTGGGGTCTTAAACTATCTGAATTTTTGATAAAATTCGGTTACGAATATGTCAAAAAGTGCTATGTACTGGCTCTTGTCGCTTTTTGAGAGAAATTCAGATACAGGCTTAGGTAGATCTTGTCAAGCGCTATCGAATGGATTACTTTTTATTGCTTCTAAGTTGAGTTTTGAGGGAGAATCTTTAATTGGCCATTTAATACGTCCGTAACGGAATTTCATGCTGTTTTTATGTTTTCATATGGGAGGTAACTTTCCACAGCAAAGTCCTAGCTGGAGAAATTTCGAGCTGTGCATCCCATAGAGCAGCTGAAACAATTACGGTTCGTAATGATTTAGAGTTTCAAAGTCTTTGTTCTACCTGTCTATTCGCACTTTCACTTCTCTAGAAACTTGATTCGATTCTTTACAGTTTAACGGGCATACCCTAGTCCTGAATGTTGAATTCCGCTGCATTTTCCATGTATTAGCCTAAAAACTGATTATCGTGGCCTACCAGTACCTGCGTAGTACTATTTAAGCAAGGAATGTTGCAGGGGAAAAATTAGCCACCGCTGTTGAATTTATGGGCGCCAAAATTTTAGAGTTGCGTCATGAAAAGAACCAGTTCTTCAGAAAAACGAAGATATGTTTTCTCTTTGTTTCATATAAGGTTCTTACCAATTTTTTTTCGAAATTTACACAACTGATTTTTTCGTTTCTCGGAAGAACAGAACATGCGTTTTTCATTTTTGCAGAGCCCTGTGTGTGGGACATTTTTTTTTGAGCATGTGGAAGAGATAGCGTCAAGACGGTTATTGAAAATTTAAAGATCAAAGATTTGTAGTTAAAAGTATATTTCATGTCGCTAAAAGATCTTATGGGGAACGGGAATAATAATGGGGTGTGTCAAACACATTCCCCATAGCATGAAGTCGTTAGAAACCAAGTTCCTCTAAGCGGTATCGTGAAAGCTAACCCTCATCCTAACGCGTCATATAGAGAAGAATTATCTCTGAAAGTATCAACAAAATTAGAGCTGTGGAAAAATGTGCAACTCTACTTTACTGAAGACACCTTTTTGAATAAACCTGTAGTGCCGAAAGGAAAATTATTTTTCAACTGGAAAAAACAAGAAACAAAATTTTTTACGAATCGGCAGAGAAGATGTTCTACTTTGATGATATACACATTTTGTTAGTCCACTATTCCTACCTTCTCTGAAAAAAATGAATTTTTTTCCAAAGTCGCTGAAAAACGGCTGAAAACGTCCTTAGGTGGTGACAAAGGTTTTGCAGTAAAGTAAGGAACCGAAACAAAATCTTTCGCTTTATTTAATTGGCCATGAGCCAAACTATACTCTACATTAGTCAAACCACCAAAAATCTCACTTTCACTTTTTCACCTAATGTCCACGTTGTTGCCCACTATGCATAGTGCTTTTCTGTTCTGTTCGATTCACCTGATCATTATAGCTGACTGTCAACCACTTTGTTGTAGTACTCTACAGAACAAACATCACCATCGATTAAGAAGATTGACAGATGAAATTGTTCATTTTCATTTTTCTATACTCTCCGAATACATTTCTAACATGTCATGCGATAATATGCAAGCTGCTTATGAAAATGAGACGTCGAATACGTTACCTGTAATGTTGTTTAAAACAACTAAATCAATTGTCTTAGTTCGATATAGTCTGTTATTTCGCATGTACAAGGCATCTGCAAATGTTCTTTCTTAATTATGATTAATTAACTATGCTGCAGTCCTTGTCATAAGGTTTTTCACATAATATGCTGTCCTATGGACGTATCCAGTCACAATCAGAAAACTCATGTGATCTGATTGCCTGGCATTCTTACGTACATATACATTTATCCTCTCGGTGAGTATTAAATATTAGATATTGACAAATTATTCATACAACTATTACACAATATAGTATATACAACCACTATTAGTTCTGTCCTATAACGATTATTTCTGCTTTGAAAAATGGCCAGCATGAAGTTGCAATCACAAACAGAAATATTAGCAAGTGAAAGATGAAAATAATATTTTCACGCCTATGTTTGCCTTCAGCAACATCACGTTTTTTAGATCCATCATAGCACATTTCTTTCATCATCTTCTTATTCAATTCTGTTTTCACCTCATTTAGTTTTCATTTCTACACCGTTTCTTTTATGCTTCGTTTAATTTATATTTTGTTTTCTGCTGTGAAGTTACTATTAGAACATTTGTACAGCAGCTGCACATGAGTCTATTTACGAACTAACTGATTACAAAGTTCGATTCCTCCACGCACATATCATAGAAAGAGAACACTTAGTATATTTTTTCTTAAAAATAATAAGAATAACACAGCATGAAGCATAGCATCATTTTCCTTCAGTATAGGTGATGAAGACGTGAAAATTATTCAGTGACATGTTTTTTGTATTCTGTTAACAAACTATCGATATGATGCTATGCATACTCGCCACCTTGTGTTGGTATTTTGTTGCAGTCTCTGGCCGAGGACCAGCAACGCTATCCGGTCAAAAACCTCTTCGCCCTCACGAACAGGTACTCACTCCAGCAGCAAAAGCCGAACTCCGCAGTTTACAACGGCAACAAAAGACGATAAACTCGAAGAGTCTTACTGGATATACGTCAAACGCTCAAGCAGATTACATTCAATCATTGCCTGGTATATCCAGTTCGAATATTAATTTCCGTCAATTTTCGGGATATCTTAATGTAAGTACCAAAAAACACATTTTCTATTGGTTTATCGAAAGTCAGCGAATGCCAGCAACTGATCCTGTGATATGGTGGAGCAACGGCGGACCCGGCTGCTCGGGACTAATTGGAATGTTAGAAGAGTTTGGTCCATTTCGAGTTCAGCCGGATAATAAAACACTTCTGATTAATCCTTATTCATGGAATCGTTTAGCGAATATTTTGTTCGTTGAATCACCTGTTGGAGTGGGATTTAGTTATAGCGATGCGCCCAATGAGGATTATTTGGCTTGGAATGACAGTCAAAGCGCGCAAGACAATTATTTTGCTGTACTCTCATATTTCGCCAAATTTCCTCAGTATCGTAAGAATGATTTTTATTTGAGTGCTGAATCATATGGTGGCCACTATGTTCCGCAATTGGCAAAAGAGATTGTAGATCGAAATGCAAAGTTGAACGCAAGCGACGTGAACAAAATTAATTTGAAAGCTCTTCTAATCGGAAATCCTCTAAATGATCCTTTTTCACAAGAGTATGCTGGAAATGATCAAGCTTATTGGGGGCATTCACTGATTGATAGTCCAACATGGCAGGGTATCGTTAAATACTGCATTGAACCATTCGAAAAGAATCCATACAATTCCAGCACTGGAAAAGGATATCAACCATGGGCAAATGCCGATTGTGTCTTTTTTGATAATAGAGCTAGTTTTTTGACGGCACCGCAATATACTGATAGTAACGCGAATCCAACAGGTCTCGATCCATATGTAAGTGAGCAGAGATTTTTCAGATACTTTATTTCCTTCATTTCTGAAATTATTTTTAGGGTCTTGACTACTCGTATTGTTCATCTGCTCAACAACAACGAGAAACATTGTGGTACTTTAAACATCGAGGAAGCGCCGCGAATGATGACAGTGATGTCGTGTTCCGACCCTGTATCAATTCGTACACTATTGCCTATCTAAGCTCGTCAAAAGTACAAAAAGCTCTTCACGTTCAATCATCCAAAATTCCGCCGTATGGGACACGAACGGATAAGTCGAGCGGTTGGTATGATTGTTCGCGGATGGTTGGCCAAAATTACAATTCTACGAATTACTATCTTGATATCACACCGGTGTATACATATTTGATCAAAAAGCTTCCCCAGCTAAAAATTCTAGTTTTCAGTGGTGACGACGATGGTGTTTGCGCGACTGTGGGAAGTCAATATTGGATGTATGCAATGAATCTAACTGTCACATCGGCATTCCAGCCGTGGTATGACTACTTTGAGCCCGATCAGTTTGGCGGTTATTTTGTTAAATTCAAAGGCATAGCATTAGCTACAATACACGGGGCTGGACATGAAGTTGCTTATTACTCACCTCAGCGAGCTTATGGATTTTTCAAATATGTATTAGACGGAAAATTTTGGCCGTAGATTTTATGCACATCAGTTATCTGATGCTTTTGATTTTCCGCTGGAAACATTACACATTTCTTCCAGTATTTTTCTACCATTTAAGCACGAAAACAGCAGCTAGTATAGTCGGATATTTTGTGATATACACATACAATGGATCAGTTGCCTACACAGTCGTTTTTTCTTTTTTAAACATTATAAGGGCTAGCTTTGCTCGTGTTTTTGCATTCTTTCATCTACATTTTCTTAGTTAACTGATTTTTTGTCATTAAAATCGTAAAAAAATAAAATAATTTGCACATTTAA